CCCCCCCCCCCCCCAGCCCTGGGTGTCATGAAAAAAAATGATCATGGAAAGAAAAATTGTTTATCTAGGGAGTTTGTTTATGTGGTGGCAGTTCAATGCATTTGTGAACACGATATTCTCGTCCCCGCCCATGGTGGGGCTGATAGTGGCCGTGTTTCTGGACAACACATTGGACGTGGAGAAGTCGAAGAAAGACAGAGGTATGCCGTGGTGGGTGAAGTTCAGAACTTTCAAAGGCGACAACCGGAACGAGGAGTTCTACACTTTGCCATTTAACCTCAACAGATTCTTTCCACCAACATAGCCAACCAAGATACATTCATTGACCAGCCAATGGCTTTTCTTTAGAAAAGAGAAAAAAAAGTGTAACTATTTTTGGCAATTGGAATCAAAAGGACCATGTTGGAAGCACTTCATCTCTCACCCCATTTTCTCAAAGACATCACAAACACTTGTAGTAACTTATCAATGTCTGTGGGTATCTGTGAGAAGATTGGAGTGAAAAATAGAGTTAAGAGGTGGAGTGACTTGGGCATGGTGTTTCATTGAGCTTAGTTTTGATTTTTTTTTGGGGGGGGGGGGGAATTTACCTAAATAGCAATAAAACATAATGACTTTTCCTAAATAACACTACATATGTTTTTTTCTCAATGTAGCACTTTTAGTCATTATCCATTAGTCATTATTCAAGTGAATGTTTGCCATCAATGGTCATTATGGACATTATAGAGTGCTATTTAGGGAAGAAAACAATCTAAATGTTATTTAGAGAAATGACTTAAGTCTTAGTGCTATTTAGTGCAAATATTTCTTTTTTTGAGTGGTGAAATCTTTAAGAGTATAGAGTAGTTGAGATAATTGGTTGATCTGCTTCGTAGAATTTCAACTTCAATGTTCTATATATATATATAAATATATATATATATATATATGTGTGTGTATATATATATATATATATATATATATATAGTCCGTAAATAAGATGGATGATGGATGTAGAGCTCTTGATCAATTGCTATGGTATGGACAGGTGGACTGCGGGTCTATTGTGTAATTTGAATTTCTTGGAGGTAAAAAATTTTATTTTATGAATCGTGTCTTTAAATGCAATTAAAAATCAGGCTTTCGTACACCAAGTGAGACTTTACCTTATAAAAAAACTAGTAATAACCCCGTGCTTCGCACGGGCTCTGATATTTTCTAAATTTTGACATCTAAATTAAAAAATAAAAATAATATTTATTTTAAGTTCTCTAATGATATATGATGTGTTTGATAAATATTTTTTAGTATATAATATCTATTTTTGAGAGAAAAGTTTTAATTTTAATATTGATGTACATGTACTAAAATTTATATAAAAAATATACAAAATAAATGTTGGATTGTTTTTAAAAAAAAAATAAATGCTGGATTATTTATATAAATAATATGTTATGAAGTTAATAAAGATGCACGTGCGATAAGATTTATATATGATAGTTTTTTTGAGATGATGGAGCAATATTGTTTTTTATGAATAAATTTTATATAATTTTTTTAAATTATAAAATAGTCACGCATATTTAAAAAATATGTAAAAACAATGAAAAAATATTTCTAAAATAGTGAGAGAGCGAAAACTTTGTAAGAAGTTAATAAAAATAATGAGTTTTTATTGTTGAAAAGTGAAGGATTTATAAAAAATAATAAAAATAATGATTATTTAATACAAAATTAAATATGCATGCATGGAAAGACATGTGTCATGTGATTTACATGTGGCGTGACACATGTCAGTAGTATGAATGCGTGGCATGACACGTGTCGTCACAACAACTATG